CGCCCCCCAGGTGAAAAATCCCCAAAAAAAAAAAAAAAAAAAAAACAACTCACACTGGGTATATGTGTGCCCACCCAAAATCTCAAGAGAAGAATGGAAAAGAAGAGACTGCAGCGTGGCCATCCCCTCCTGGGGGTGATTTCTCACCTTCTGTCTTTATGTCTCTCTGGTGAGTACACATGCCCTATAGCAAAAATCTCTATCTCCCTCAAGAAATAAAAAGTTAACTCATATGGTAGATGGTCTTACAGGACACACAGCATCCAGGTTAACCTGGTTGTGTCCTGGGACCTTCTCATGCACATATACCTTTAACCTTTTTGTGGGTCTATGGTTCTTAGAGATACCCTGAGATAGATTCTCTAGTGTTTCTTGAACTAGGAATTCTAGTAGAGAAAGAAGGCTTTTACAAACTCCTTTATTTCACTTTTAGTATTTATTTATTTATTTTTAAAGTTTGTTATAGGGCACATGTGCTCACCAGAGAGACAGAGACAGAGAGAAAGAGAGAGAAGGAAAGTAAGAAAGTAAGCCATCAGGTCCAGGATTCAAACCATGGTTGGCCATGTGAGAGTCGAGCACCTCAACCACCAAGCCACCTGCTGGCCCCTTCAAACTCCTTTAAATAAATGTACGAAGTTCAGCCTATCAAATGTGTGAACTCAGCCACAATGCCAAACAAGGAATAAAAAAAATTATTACTACGGCCCAGATATCAAGGAGGCAGTTTATTGGGTACTACTAAAGTCTATAGCTGTGCTACCTAGCCACGGGTGCCCAAATTTAAATTAATTAAAAATTCAGTCCCTCAGGGCCCACAGGTGACGTGGTAGTTAAGGTGCTGAACCCCACAGGGCCAATTCCATGGTTCGAGTCTCAGACTCAGTGGTTTGAAAACATGCCGCACAATGTGCACGTGTGCACGAAATCCTGAGAGGAGAATGGAGGAGAAAGGACTACAGTGTGACCACTTCCCCTGGGGGATTTCTCACTTTCCCCCTCTCTCTGGTGAGTACATGTACCCTATGGCAAAAATCTGGGAAGAAAAATAAATTCAGTTTCTCAGTTGTACTAACCATATTTCAAAATAGCCACATATGTTGGACAGGACATTTCCATCACCATGGAGGATCTACTGGAATAGCTGGACTAGGAAAAAGCTGCCTAGACTTTTGTTATTCAACGTATTTTGAACTACCAGAAATGATTTAGCATTAAGGAAACTCTTAACTCATAGGCCTGTCTTCTTTTCTCACTATTCCTGGCATCCTCTCACCCATAAAGGGGATACTGAGAATAGAGTGAATTACACTTCAATCAACTTTTCTTTATGTGTGCTCAGGTGCATGCACTCAGGTTCATTTTCTCTATTCAATACATATTAAAACACACATGGGGGCCATCTCACATGCTCACGTGGTTGTGGTTTATCACAGCCCTAGCAGCTTAAAAAACATGCTGGACATGAATGCATACATGCCCCAAATCTCATCAGGATGAAGAAAGGAAGAAGGGACTATGCTATGACGATGCCCCATTGGGGGAGAGTGCCCTCTCCCTACCTCAGGTGCATTTGACCTCTGGCAATTAAAAAAACATAAACTGCACACGAAATACTCTTTAAACACTGTTTTTTTTTTTTTTTTTAGAGAATTTTCTAAATTTATTTTTATTTATTTATTTTTTTTGGAGAGGTGTTTTCACTATAGGCTGCATGTGCTCGCCAGAAAGAGAGAGAGAGAGAGACAGACAGAGAGACAGAAAGCGAGAAATCACCTCCCAGGGAGGATGGCTATGTCGCAATCCCTTCTCCATTCTCCTCTCGGGATCTTGGGCACGCACGCACACGTGCCCGGCGTGAGTTTAAGCCGCCAGGTCCGGGACTTGAACGGCAGTCAACTACATGGGAGTCCAGCAACATAGCCATTACGCTAACTGCTGGTCCCCAACACTGTCATATTAACAAACCTCAATAAGCATGGTGATCAGGAAGGAATCAAACCTTACCAGTTATAAGAAACCCTAAAATCTGTACCAAGATTAACAGAATTTTTAAAAGCTTCTTCAAATGAATTCCTACCAGGCAGGGTAAATTCTTGGAGGAAAAAAAATATCAGCTCCTTTCTTGAGACATGTTACTAAAGGAGCCAAAATATAGCCTGTTGGACTACCTGTGCAACTAAAGGAGTGTAATAAGTAGAAAAACTAACCCATTTATTTATACTACTATTTATTCCCTCTCTCCTCCTGGTCAAGATTGGACACAGACACGGCAGGTAGACTTGCAAGTCATCTCCTCATCACCCCAGGAGTCGTAAGCAAGGAGCATGATGGCACCAGTAACATATCTAAATGAGATATTGTTTTGGGAAACGAATGAACCTACTGGCCACTATTTGTGAATACGGCAGAAATACAGTGGAGGAAAAGGAACAGAATAAGGAAGAGGCTGGCATACTACACTGGTTGTTAACCTAGTACCATAGGAAAACTCTGTTCTCATATTATTGGCTGAGAAGGAAAAAATCAGAACTTGAGTGCTTCAATAAGGTAAACTCAATCCTATAAATTATGGTCCTCAAAGGGACAGTTAGGGACCACAGGAGGTCTATGAAAAACTTGTAGGTAGACTGTGGCACACTGAAGTAAAGTTTAATGTGTATACTTCTGTATCAACACTTAAGATCCTCTTTCCTATGACATTAAGCCAATACTTGAGAAAAAACAAAGAAGTTTCCTATATTCATTTCTTTTTTTTTTCCCTCTGGGGTAATAACAATGACTGGTACAGCCATCCATTGAAATTTCTGATTCCCTTGCATTAATATGGTGATATGTTTAGAGTAAAGGCTTTAAAATAGAATACATTATTATAGTTCTAGAAGTGAGGATAAACCTACTTGTTTTCCCGATTAACTGTTGGAGTTATTGTTGGCTTCCTCTTCTCTTCCTCTTGAATGGCCTGGGTTATATCTGGGGAGGAGTAGGAGCGCTTCAATTTGGACGGCTCCCTATCCCGCTCAGC